ACTTTTAGTTTCAAATCAAAATCCCTGTGTGTGCTCACAGTTTCTGTGGACAGAATCCCTTTATTTGTTAACATGTTGCAGTTCATTTATTACCAATCACTTTTTGTGCTGACCCTTTTAAATTGAATTTCCCCTCAGGGGGATTAATAAAGTGTATAAAATTAAATTAAATTAAATTAAATTAAAATTAATTAAAATTAAATTAAAATTACAATTAAAATTAATTACATTTAGCAAAATGTGCATTTTCAGAATTTTTAATGTTATTTTGTTTCGGGTAACTGTCTTCCATTCATTTTACTGAAGTATAAAACATGCAGAGATTTAAAACTTGCATGGGTAAAATGATAACTCTGGTGTTATTTTATATATTTCATCTGTCACTTTCTGACTTTCCACTACCCTGTCTGTGGTGCTCCATGCCTGCTTTGTCTTGCCTGGATCCAGATCTTGGATTCCACCCACTCCACTGAGTTGACTGATTGGTCGAGATATGAAGAGTTGTGGCCACATTCATTTGAAACCTTGGCACTTCTCTACAAACCTTGCTCACCAGTACAAGAAGAACCCACCAACATGATGGTTATGTGAAAGCTGCTACAACGCCACATTGTTGTAACCTTCGTAAGTAACAAGGTGTAATTCTTACCTGTACCCCAACCTCTAACCTCAACTGCCTCTCATGCCTCTAACAGAGGCTGCTACCGATGCTGTTCTAAATCAGCATATCCTCTCAACATCACCCGGCATCGTTTTACTTTGCAACACTCCATTTCTAAAACCAAAGCAAAACAAGTATGTTGGCATTGCTGTGTGGAATTGAAATGTTGTTAGATTCAGGGAGATGCCTAGATTATCTAGTAGGGGTGGGGGGAAACTTTTATGATTTTTTTTTGTGGCAATATTGTATCATCATACAGTGCCATGTATTGATTTTTTTTATAGTTTAAATTATTAATACTGCAAATGCAAATACAAATTAAACTTTAGGTGGCCTACTTGAATAATATAATCCATTGCTTTTTCAGTCCACTACCTCCATTTTGCTGCAAAAAAAAAAAAAAGATGATAGATAAAAATAGAAATAGATGAAATGTAGCTCACAAAAATATAGTTTCATTTTTTTTCAAAAAAGGTTAAGTAATTTCCTAAAATTGGCTGGTCACTGTAGTTTTTATTTAATGTTACTCAAACAGGAGGAAATGTTGCATTTGTTGGGGACTATTTTCAGGGGTGGATTAATCCACATTTGGTGCTTTAATGAGTATTTGTGGCAGCAGGATGGTGTATGTGGGATTGAGTCAAAATAAACTAACTTTCTGTGTGTTCATGCTAATGGAGGAATGTGTCAACCAGTGCAACCGCGTGGCTCACTGATGTGTTTTATAGTTTTTGGAGAACAATGGAGCTCTGTGGCACTGAGGAAGAATATGGTAAACAGACTCTACTGTAGTGCTTTTATCCAAAGTGTTCTAGAGTTTGATCAGCTCATTGTTGGGTTTGATATTTTCATGGGATTTGTTGACAAAAAGACAAACACAGAATATCACGAGACTGATCATTTAAAACACCACTGTGAATAACAGATAACCCTGCCTAGTAATACATTTGTAAGTTTAATTAGAAAGGTCTGCGCTGCCTTTCCATGGAACAGTATTTGTCATTTTGATTCATGCAGCGGATATTGATTGTTTTGAAGTCTCTCCAAGTGTTCATACTGAAACGATGTGAGTCTAAGGCAGTTGGTGCCTGAAAAGTGGATGAAAAAGACTTCAAGATATAAAACAATATAGTATTGGTTGCACATTCTTAACCTTCTCTGAGAAACCCCCTTTTTAACAGAATAATTCAAAAGTTTGTTAAATATACTTATTTGCTTTCTTTGTGAAGGTAAGATGTTCAGATGGATCTCAATCTCATGTCTGTGTGTTAGGGACCGAGCTGGAGTCAGGAAGTGGTTAGCCTTAAGCCCAGTTCAGACCAATGATTCACAACGAGACTGAACCATTTTAGAATTTTGCAAAGGAAAACTGCAGCGGTGTGAACTGGCCGGTACGAGCTCGCCTCAAGCCCGCCGATGGTGTCACCTGCAACTCAACTAGTCAATTTGCCAGCGGCTGTTTTTAGAATGTTAAGCACGACACCTGAGTTGTTGCATAGAGATGATACACCGTCTCATCTAGTTGCATTCGTGTGACCTGGCAGATTTTTACAATGTTGCAGAACATTGCAAAATCACTGCATTGCAAATCTTTGGTCTAAACCAGGCTTTATTTAACATAAAGACTTGAAGAAGGGGGAAATTTACCAAAACATCTACATCATGTACATCTATTTTAAGAATAGCATAGTGATGAATCTGATCTTATTCATCAATCAGCCACAACATTTAAACCAATGACAGGTGAAGTGAATAATATTGATAATCTTGTTACAATTCAGCATTCATTATCATGAATTATCCGTTACAGTTTATCCTATTCAGGGTCACTGAGGGGCTGGAGCCTGTACCAGCTGACAATGGGCCAAAGGAGGAGTACACTCTGGACAGGTCACTAGACTATGACAAGGCTAACACATTGAGACAAACAACTATTCAGGCTACCTACAGGCAATTTTAGAGTTACCATTTAACCTAACTTGCATGTCTTCGAACTGTGGGAGGAAGCCAGAGAACCCGGAGAAAAGAATATGCAAACTCCACACAGACAGTGCAAATCACTGCACCACCTTGCCACCCTACAATGCAACATTCTGCTGTTGGGTCATGGCATTCATGTGGAAGCCTTTTGACACGCACCACCCACCCCAAGACTGTTGCAGACAAAGTACACCCCCTTAATAGCAATGGCACTCCCTGAAGGCAGTGGCCTCCCAGCAGGACAATGTGCCATACGACACTGCAAAAACTGCTGAGGAATGGCCAGAGGAACTTGACAAAGAGCTTAAAGCATCGACCTGGCCTCCAAATTTCCCAGATCCCAATCCAACTGAGCATTCGTGCGACTTGCCAGTACCCCAGAGCCAAGACCAATCGATGGTGGGGATTGGTCATGATCCAAGGTAGGGCCTCCTTAGATCGGACTTGGCTCTGACCTGTTGAGGCATGGACACAGGATCTCGGGGGTGTCTGGCACCAGGATGTGGCCAATGTATCCATTGAGTCCTGTGGGTTGGAAGAAGGGTACCAGCACATTACACGGATGCTTGATTGCATTGAGATCTTGGGACTTTGGTGGTCAGGTCAACGCCTTGAAATCATTGTTGCCTTCCTCGGGCCATTCCTGAGCAGTTCTTGTCTGGCTGGAGGGGCCACTGCCATTGCCACGAGGGGGTGTACTTAGTCTTCAGTGTGTTTGAGTGGGTGGTGCCAAGACCAAAGGTTTCCCAGCAGAACCCTGCACTGTAATGAGATGATCAATGTTATTTACTTAACCTGTCTGTAGTTTAAATGTTGTGGCTGATCTGTGTATATAAAGATAGTTAAACATTTCAAACCTATTTCATTTAGTTTTTTTAAAATTATAAATATATCAAACAAATAGCGATTTCTCATCTTGCTCTTTGATGTAATCAGTGTATCAAGTGACCAATGTGGGTCAGAAATTGTGTGTACCATAGACTTTATGGCTGAGACACACAACAATACCTGGACTGGATTAATTTACATTATAATTGATATTTCACTTGCACTGTATCTTAGTCCATCACCTATGATCCTGTCAATCAATCAATTCAATCAATTTTATTTATAAAGCCCAATATCACAAATCACAATTTGCCTCACAGGGCTTTACAGCATACGACAGCCTCTGTCCTTATGACCCTCGTCAATAAAGTTTCACCTTAACACAGGAACAAAGATATGCTCAGGCAGTCTGAGGTAAATAAAGAGGCCTTCCTCGGCTGTCCATTATACGGAGCCAGTTCTTGGCCCTGATCCCACACTTTTGACTGAGCAGCATTGCACACAGACAGACAGACAGAGACAGAGAGAGAGAGAGAGAGAGAGAGAGAGAGAGAGAGAGAGAGAGAGAGAGAGAGAGTGTGTGTGTGTGTGAGAGTGAGTGAGTGAGAGAGTGAGAGAGAGAGAGAGAGAGAGAGAAAGGGCTGATTGGGAGTGGACTACTCTCACCTTGTTTAGAAAGCCCTTGAGCACGCTGGCAGCTTTCACCGACAGAGACCTTGGGATGCGAATGGGCTTCTCAAGAATAACTGTTGGCGTGAAGAGAAGGACAGGAACAAAGAGAGAGCGAGGGGGAGAAAGAAAAGGACAATCGTGAGTAGGGAGGAGGATGATTCACAGTCCAACCTGCCTGTGGGTGACCATGTCTGCTGAGTGGGAGTCAAAGGAAGGGAGGAGTTACAGAGGACACTATTCTGTTCTTCTGATGGTCTACACACAGCCTTGAGACTCCCACAGCTCAGTGCTGTCATACTGACGAGAACAAAAACACTCTGAAAAATCATTTTTCCCTCCGAACTGAAATAGAAGGACATAGTACTGCTTCACACAGGAGTGGTTCACGCTGAGGTGACCAAAGATTTTTTTTTCTTTCAATCACAGCTCAAGGTTATGTGATCAGTGTGTGTTCTCATACAGACATAGTTACTCCCCATCAAAATAGACATGTAGATGTAAAAATGTATGAACTATGATCTCTACAAACACTGGTCATTTCTGGATAATGAATGTTACAAATGCTAATGCTATACTGCTGAATTCAATCTCTTGAGGTGACAAAATGAGATTTGCTTGTCAGACCTAACTCCATAGCACTGTCAGAGCTATAGAACGGTCTGGAAGCACCCATTAGTATTCTGGTACAGGGAAAACTACGGAATTACCGCCTCATGGTTGTATGCCTTAGGCGGCGATCACACCTATAAGGAGCGCTAGAAACGAGACGCCAGTAAAACAATTGATTCCCTATGATACGGCACATCTGACTGGTTTTCAAACATTTTTTATGACGAGCGTCTTTCTGGCGTCTTTTTAGACGTGCGTTCTTTTTCTGGCATCTTTTTAGACTCACGTTTGTACACGCTGAAAGTTGAAATAATCTCAACTTTTGGGCATCAGGCGCCAGTAGCACCATTTCGTCATACTTGGCCCAGGCAGCCAATCAAATCCATGGAATCAAGCAAGAGGCGGGCTTTGCTATCACGTCAACTTCATTCATGTTTTGTTGTTGAGAGTAGCTGAGGTAAATTGTGTAAACACAATGGCAATGCAGTGCAACGACGAACGGTTCATCCTGACAGTTTATAATTACGAGGAGCTATACAATCCCTCAATACCTCAGTATAGCAATAAGCACTGGAGAGCATCTCTTCTTGAGGATATCGTGTATCCAAAACCTCCGCTTTTTGTGGGGTTCTTCATCGTCTAAAAGCAGAGCAACGGCAAGTGCCCTCCTCCGTCTTGGGTCCATTTTCAATGTTTTGATCACCCAGTTGTGCACACACACCCACTCTACAGGCGCTCCTTGTAAGGAGCGCTCATTGAAAGGGCGTTTCAGGCATTTCAGGTGTCTTTGAAGCGTCCACGTTTCTAGCGCCACCTGTAGGTGTGATCGGCCCCTTAGAGATTGAATTCATGGGTCTTTCCAAAACCGGATCCTTCCCACTCTCACTCTATCTCAGAGTGTCACTCTGTTTGTAGTCACCTCCATAGCTGAATGAAGCGTCTTACATCAAGGTGTGCAGTGTAAACACAGCAGCAAGCTTTAGGACAAATTTCCCTCTCTGCAGCTGAAAAAGGAGCTGTCATTACATTTGGTAACCATGGAGAAAAAATTAGAGAAACTGTCCACCAACTTGTCAGATCAAACTTTTGCTGCTTGGACCCTTAAGGCCCATTTATGCTCAATGTTAAATATGGATCCGGATACGGATGGAGCCTTCTGTCCATGCTCCACGTTCATTTCATCCGTATTTCTGCACCTTTCCATAAAGCTTACGGATACGGGCCAAACGGAGCAGTACCACCGGAAACCGTGGGGGCAGTGTTGCTGTCACTACCTGATACGTAGCTCTAGTGAGAAATGAAGAAGAAATAACAATTCAATTTCTCTCATCAGCAGTATTAGAGAAAATAATTCTCCATCCTCCAGTCACGATGTATTTAACGGCCTCACCGACCACCGCCTCCTACAACGCTGCCACTGTTTTTGTCTTTTATACAAGAGGTACATTATCAATATCTCCTCCACAGTCGCCATGTTTGTTTTTGAGTTTGTTGGTGTCATAAACTTTTGACACTGGGCTGCCTCCTGGTGGATATATTGGTTAACATCCATGCCAACGTAAAGGGCATATGGAAGTATGTGGGCAGTGACGGTAACATCATTTGAAACGGACGTATACATTTTCGTACCTAAAGGGAGCATAAATGGGCCTTTAGTCAAGTCATTTTTCCTTTCACTGTTAATCACATATCCTCTCACAATGCAATATATGAGAAAAAAAATTGATATTGTTACAAAATGCTAAGATGAGAGGGCAGGCAAAGTTTAACTAAATACATTGGGGTGTCTGTCATTATCAGCCAATTTTAGCTTAGACAGATACTGTTGTATTAATCTCAGCCTGATGAAGACTTTAAGATATGTTTGAAAGCCCTGGAAAATGTTGTAAGATTTTTGTTTTGAGTCACACTACTGCTTCTTACTTCAAGAATGACCTTTAACGCCCAGATGAAATTTCAAAACAGTGTTACTATAACACCAACCCAAAACATTTTTATAACATATTTCAGTCATTAAAATCGTACATGCTTAATGTAAATACCACCTTGTGACTGTATCCCCCACTGAATCAAATGTTTGCCAGCTGTCTGTCTGTCTAAAGCTCTGCAGTTGGCATGTGGAGCACTGATACCCAAAGCAGGGCCTGGCAAAGGGTCTAGCTAGGTGGCATATGGCTGGGTGGCTCCTATAGTGAAAGAGTTGGTTTCCGTTGGCAGGCATTCATCTAGGAACCTGCTGTTCTACCAGTGAGACCTCCATGAGGATGGTAGTGGTGGCAGATGCTAGCCATGGTACCATGCTATGCTCCTGACAGTCACAGCAGAGACATAATGCGTCACACGAGGTTACTGTAGTATGGAGGAATTTCTGTTATAGAGGACTGTGTGGGTGGCTGTGTGAGCAAGGGAGGAAGGAGGAGATATGTTATGGTACCATATGGCTCAAGGAACACAAATGCAAATAGCAGAGATATTATAGAGGTTCCTCTACCCTGAGCGTGATCACACCCACAGTTTGTTTTCTTTAGTTCAAGCCATTCTGAAACAGTGGACTTTGTTGCAATTTTGTATTTATGTTGTGTAGATTGGCACTACATTATTACTTACTTACATAAGGAAGTACCTCCCTTATTAAAATGAAACAGAGTTCCACAAGGTCCTGTGCTTGGACCAGTAGTATTCATACATGCGTCCCTTGGGCAATGTTATTAGGGAAAAGTCCATAAATGTTCACTGTTATGCAGACGAGACCCAGTTATATTCATTGGCTTTGTCACTTTGGACTTTGATTTAAACTTTAAAGCCCATATTAGCCAAGTCCCCAAGACAGCATTCTTCCACCTGAGACATGTTGAAAAGGTTAGGCTGTTCTTAACAAAGCAGAATTCCAAGAAACTGATTCACTTTTCATTACTAGCGGGCTGTACTATTGTAATACCCTCTTTACTGACCTACCAAAAAAGTTGCAAGGAAATTTTTAGAACTCAAGAAACTTAAGCAAGACTTTTCACAAAGAATAGGAACAGAGAGCACATTACTCCTGTTTTAGCTGCCCTGCACTGGCACCCCATTTCTTCTAGAATTAATTTCAAGGTACTTTTACTTACATACAAAGCTCTTTATGACATAGCACCTTCTTTCATTTTTTACTTTTTAACTCCTTATCAACCAACTAGAGGCCACGGGTCCTCTGATGCTGGTATTTCAACTGTTGTTAAGTTACTCATAAAACGAGTGGGGAAACTGCTTTTAGCTACTACGCTCCAAGACGTGGAACATCCTGCCCAGTTACATAAGCTATGCAAGCTCTGTTTACATTTTTAAAAATTAACTTGGTTTAGTTAAAGGCGCTGTATGTAAGAATGTGGCCAAAACAGTTACTGCACTCAAATTCAAAATACTGCTGCGAGTCGTGTCCGCCCCCCCTCCCCTACAGATTCGAGGTTGCTGGACAGCGGCACGCTGGAGACTGATTTGTTTGCCCACGGGCGGCTGCTGTGGCAGGGCTGCATCGCCGTGTCCTTGACCTTCGGTTTTCCAGCGGACCGTTCGAGCAAGTCCAGCTTCTCTGCTGCTAACGCTGCTGCCGGGATACAGCTCATGAGGAGCCGGCTGCTAATGCTATGTACCGGGACACTGCTAATGCTGCTTGCCGTGCAGCTGTAGCTCAGTCGTAAATGTAACTGATGCTGAGACTCTACTGACTGAGTGACTGGTAGACGGCAATGGGTGGCGCAACAGGCCAAAACACAAATTCAAAACATAAACATGATTTGCGGACCGTAAAAAATTTTTTTAAATGCGAATATTCTGGCTGTACTATTGTTGTCGGTGAGATCAGTATGTTATATGAACATTATTCCTTAGTCTCTGTGACATATTAGGAGGATTTTATGACTATTTGCTTCATATTTCTTACATATAGCTCCTTTAATGTAGTTCATTTTTATCTTTTTCTACTAACTTCTCAGAAAGGGAGGTAAATAACGATCCAAAGTTAGGCTTCTCACCTCAAGATATCTGAATGAAAATGGGTTCTGTAGGTACCCACAAGTTTCCCCTTAACTTATGCTAGTCTCATACAGTTTGTCGTAGAAACTAGGCACATCTTTGCATGCATTATAAATATGCTATTTTCGCCTATTGTATTTGAATATGTCTGCATACTGCACTCCCTAAACAGTGGTGAAATTGCATGAATTGGGTATGACTGGAAAGCTGATACTCCTGAGGATTCAGTGAGCCCAGTTTTATTCATGTGTTCATTCATAGTTTTGATGCCTTCAGTGAGAATCTACAATGTAAATAGTCATGAAAATAAAGAAAACGCATTGAATGAGAAGGTGTGTCCAAACTTTTGGCCTGTACTGTATCTCAAACTAATCTTCAGGATTCTGGTCTTAGAGAGTTAAATTTATATATACTTCCTTTGGGTATCATTGTTAGGAAACACTCCATAAATTCTTGATTGTATGCAGATGATACCCAATTATATTTATCAGTGAGGCCAGATGAAACCAATCAGTTAGCTAAACTTCAAGCATGTTTTAAGACATTAAAACCTGAATGACCTGCAATTTTCTGCTACTACTCAAATAAAAATGACTATTATTTAGCCTTAAACACCCTAGAAACTCACTTACCTAACTCAGTTACATAATGAAATTGCTACTCTCCTGCCTGGAGAAGTACCATATGCTCAAGCCATGGCTATATGTGCATGGGTATCATTTAGAGACATTCTTATGGCTGAAAACCCTTCTTTGTGTAGATCAGTAGAAATATTTACATGTATATTTGTAGAATTATAATTTGACACCTGTAACAAACAAGGACACTATTCAAAGAGCAGAATTAGACCAAGTAGTGAAGCAGGGACAAATCCAAGGACAGAATGTGATTAAAGTGCTGCTTCTCTTGAGCATCAATGGCACTAACACATTTTTTTGCACTGATGAAGGACTGTGGACGGTGATACATAATTTTATGAGGAAGGATTCACAGCTTTGTAATTACGGCAAAGATTCTTCTATCCTTCATCTCAACAATCACCAGGTAATATTACTCTGTTAATGTTTTATTAACTTTGTTTTGTTTTGTTTTTTTGTTTAGTATAGTTATATCAACCAGTGCACTGTGCATTTCTCTCTCCGCTTTATATTAATTATTTCAAAAAGAGTTTACACAAACTTGCATTGAAAAAAAAAAAAAAGGTTTCAAGAAGGATTGCAGCGGCCAATCTCAACTTTATTTTACCAAAAATAACCTCTCTAGTTTCATTACTTTAAGGGTCATTTTGACGTATAATACTAACAGTGCAATACCGTGAAACCGCGATATTTTGGTGATTTTACCATAAAAATCTCATTCCATTGCAACCCTATTAGGAAAAGGTTTATTTCCAGAAATTTGAAATCAGTACTTAATTTCACACCATCTGTGTGTGTATTTGGGGTATAACTGAAAACCTTTTTTTTTTATTAAAGATATTAAATTATATAGTAGGACTGGCTTTTTCTGGCTTCAGTAAAAAAAAATGATATCCACAAAAAGACAAAAGAGGAGAAAACTATCTATTATCCCTTAGCTTTTTTGTTATGTGGGACTTTCCAATTACAAGTTAATGCTGGCCATTAGATTTCTCCATCCGTCTCCTTGTACAGGTAAAACGGTAACTGCAACTGTAAGTGCTATAACTTCCTAACTAAAAATTACTTTGCAGTTTGACTGATGGAAGACAGAGACCTGTGTTTACAGGGGTCTCGGGGTCGATATTTGGCGCCATCTCAGTTCAAATGAAAATGCCATTATCTGCCAAATGAAGCAAACTAATGGGGAAAAAAACGCTGAACTGTTCCACACATGCACCCTAAATCTCATCTGTAATAGAGGCCATGATGTACTGCCAGATTCTCCACAGTTCATGAGGGGTGGGGGAGCATGCATTACAGCATGTGCATGCAGCAGTACATCATTACAGGAGTCCTCAAATATTAACCCATTTCTTGCTCACACAAACTGTAACAGCATTTTTGGTTGGCAAGATCCATGCAGACAACAGCAAACTAGTACAGTGTTGTATTCTTTAAAAAGAAAGCCAGCTTGTTTACAGCATATGCCATGCATTTCTGATCAGATGGGATTGAGAGAGTTTAATCAACTTTGGGGTGGAATTTTCTTAACCTTTAAAGGACCATGTAATCTGTCAATTGAACTTGAAACACACAAATCACTACATTTGATTTCTAAGGTGGAAACAAAGCAGGAATAAACACAGATAAGGGACATCTTCTTCAACAGGAAATAAAACAAAACAACAGTATGAATGTATGTTGTTGAACTGTTATTTTCCTTGGCTTTATCACACTTTCACGCTTTCCAACTACTGTACTGTATATCATTAATGTAAATATATCAATAAGTTCACTCAAATGCCAAGACATGTCACGGACTAAAACAAAACGTGAGAAATCTACGGCAAACTAAAACTAATTAACATTTGAGAGAAGTATAATTAGCCCTGTTTTCGAGTTCCCGCTATTTTAATGAAGCACACCAGAACCATCTAAGCCTGGATTTACACAGACATAAATCCTTTACAGCCCAGAGCTAAGTGTTATTCCATTACATGGAATACATCTGTCTTCCCACTCTCACAATATCAGCATCATGAAGGGTTAAATTAACATGTTTTGCCATGCTATCAATATTAATATTTGATTTCCCACAATTCCTTTATACTTCCAATCCCTTAAAGCATAGTGGATGTAGTCAGACGCTAGGTACGTTCCCACTGATGAAACAGGGACAGATACACTTAAAGGTATAAACCCTATGTATTGTTGAAATCCTTTGCTTCACCTTGAAAGAGGTACTCCTCTGTGTTCATGTCAGGATTGTCAGTGATAATGTCAAATGGGGACCTCCCAGCCATCATCTCAAACATCAGCACACCCAGAGCCCACCAGTCCACACTGAAGCCTGGGAGGGCACACAAGAATAAGACAAAATATTCTTTTAGATATTTGTGTGGCATGAAGGACTTCAATTATTCCCATCCTTTCAATATAAATTGCAAACTGGAGCTGGTTTAGTCACTGGTGAAAAACTTTCTCTATGTACATGCACTGGCTACAGAAGCCCTGAGAGGCCTATGAGAAAAAAAATCGTGCAAACCATTTTCTAAGTCTGATCTAAATTGTTTTACCAGCTGTGTTTATGAATTGAACTTAAATGTTCTGGCAGGTTGTTGTTGTCAGGATATTTTTTCTTAGTGTTTGTTGTTGTTGTAATACTCATTTCAGCCACTAGAGGCTGAGGTACACCACTACCTCGTGTTCTAAACAGGACTAAAAACATTCATGTTTTCTTCCATGTGAGTTTTATTTTCTCCATGCACTCTTATTGCGAGGTACTGGTAAAAATCACCAGCAAGTTAGGTAACATTACTATCACATCTTTCTTTTGGATAGAAATGCATTTTCATTGACACTCATCTAACATTAGAATTAACTACATTGATGTTAGCAGTTAGCCTGCTTACTAGTGAGTGAAAAAAAAAAAACTGTTCATGGCTAATTAAAAATAATTAAATTAAATTATAATGTACATTAAGTTGACTGTAAAGCAAACATTAATGTAATGTTAGTCATGGTAATTTGGACGCTTATTTGAGGGATGCTTTACCATGATATGACAGTTATGTATTAAAACTTGCTAACATACAAAATAAATACCTTGTGTTTAGAGTGCATAGAAGAATTAAAACTAACCTGGCAGAAAACATCCATGCTTTTAGTCCAATTTAGAACATGGGGTAGTGGTGCACTTAAGCTTCTTCTGGCCGAAATGAAAAAAAAGAAATTCCTGAGAAAAAAGAAATCACCTGCCAAAACTTCCTTTTTCTACCCATTTCAGAGATTTAAAAAAGAAAAGATGAGGAAGAACTTAGAGCAGGCATGTCCAAAGTCTGGCCCGGGGGCCAATTGTGGCCAGCAGACCAATTTTAATCAGCCCTCGCCTTGACTTTCAAAATATACCATATGTGGTCCTTTACACAATAATGGTTAATCGAGCAAGATCACTTGGCATTTTTATCCTTCGCCTCAGAATGATAAGACTATCATACACTATAGGGCTGTCAAAATTGCTCAAAAATGACGTTCGAATATTCCTTCTAAAAATAACTCATAGGTTCGAACCATTCGAATATTTTTTTTTTCTGCATTATGTCCACAAGAGGGCAAACTAATACAAGGAAACATACTTGTATATGAAACATAACTACCTGTAGGTATTTTTATTTCAACATAAACGTCTTTGAAAACATTTACATACCTACACATTAAAACACATATAACAATTATCTATAACATTACGTTATAAACGACCGCAGACCTCTCGCTCGCCCCCCCTCTCTGACCCGTGACCACACCGCCCGCGGAAGCGCTGCGAATAGCCTTGAAGCACCGGACCGTGACCGGCTCACGCCCTGCAGCAATCGTTTCAGCGTCTGGTCTGTTTTCTGCGCGAGCCACGAGCGAATGTGTCAAGCCGGGTGACGGAGACAACAGCTGGGAGCAGAACCGCTTGTCAACCAGCGTGGGGAAATGCGCGTCTGATGCCAACGCCCACATGCAAAGAGGACAGCTGCGGTGGTGTTTTTTTCCCCTCTCCACAATCGAATATCAATTTTCACATTCGAAGGTCCATTTTTTTTTTCAAATTCGAATTTGAATTCGAATTTAGAATATTCGTTGACAGCCCTAATACACTACACTGTAGACAGGCATCAAGTAGTAATAGTTCATTAAAAGATAAAAATGGTTGCTTTTGTCTCACTTTAAAAAAAAAAAAACTTTTGATGCGAGAATCAGTTGGCCCCCAGGTGTTTTCACATTGTTTTATCTGGCCCCCATTCAAAAAAGTTTGGACACTCCTGACTTAGAGAGATTATTCTGGCAAAACCTGATTCTTCACTTGTTCACACAGAAGATAAAACAATTTAGATCAGACTTTCTTTCCTAACCTCTCAGGACTTCTGTAGGTACCACTTAGCTTACAATAGTTGCCTGATGCAGTTTAGCATAATTGTTGTCCTTCCCTCATTGCCTTTTCTTAAGATTTGCTATCAGTAGTTTAGAAAAAGAAATATTTTTTGTTTGGCCCAGCATTTGGAGACAAACTAATCCAACCCAGTGTGACTCCTGTACTCACCGTAGTCCTCTCCTCTCAGGATCTCAGGTGCAATGTAGTTGGGTGTTCCACAGAAGGTGCTAGTGGTGTCACCTGGTCTGATCCCCTCCTGAGTGGTTGCAGTGATGAAAGATAAAGGATATGATGAGTGAGAACATGAGTGGTGGACAAAACAACAAAGACAGGAGCCCTGTTAGTACTTCCAGGCGATACAGATCTACTGCATTATTGATAGCCCTATGCCAGCCATCCACACAGTTCACTGACAAAAATCAATGTGCGTCTTGCCTTGCACATGCCGTAGTCAGTGAGCTTGATGTGTCCCTCATGATCCAAGAGAACATTGTCCAGCTTCAGGTCACGGTAGATTATGCCCTTTTCATGCAGGAAGTTCAGAGCGATACAGATTTCAGCAGCATAAAATCTGCAAAGGAGAAAAGAAGAAAATTATGTATCTGACCTGTCCTCCAGTGCCTCCATCAGGACAACGATTTCCTCTTGTGCACAAAAAAATATTAGCATCTTTCATAGGCCCTGGCAGTTGCACGTTGTGTTGATCACATATGATCACCACACTCACAATGGTCATTAATTAAGCCACAGACATAAACAGTGATTGAAATGCATTTTTCAAAATCCACAACTTAGTGTTTTTATTTTTATAGTGTACTGCCTCTGTAGTTATCTGAGTGTGGTAAGTAGGAAAAGGGGTTTTCCACTGTCTTGCATACTCCAGGTAAAAATATCTACCAAGTATTGCAGCTCTATCCATAATGGGCCTGTCATGTTTGAATAAATGCAATGCACAACATTTCTGTAACAGAGACCTGTCTGAATGTCAAAAAGTTTCACTGTAAACCCCAATTTGCTCATTTAACTTCAAAAAAATAAAACTGGAAACAGCTTGCACTCAAAACATTTAGTTTGGTACAATGCAGTAACATAAAATTTTTGAATACACCAGACACAAAATAAAATTTTCACGTCTGGCAGGAATTTTATGACAGTTTAATATAACCTTTTTTTGTTGTTGTGTGAGGATTTAATTCTATGTTGTATGAACATGAAAACATTGTGTTCACATTATACATTTTTTTTTTCAATTTCATTGAATGATAAAATTATATTGTAGCGAGCTTAGGTTTGTCATTTGCTAGAATAAATGAGGCAAATAGACAAATTCTGAACCTGGAAAAAAGTGTTTTTTATTTCACCTCAACACAGCTTTATGTAAGACACTAATATTTACACAGACGGGATGTAACTAGCTTTGTATATGACTTAACTCACGGTGCAAAATGTTTTTTTTTACAACATTAACTTTAACCCATTAGAACCATTGTCAAATACAAATTTATTAATCCTAGTGTAACGGGTGACTTAAGTGATCTACAACAAACTTTAACACATGCCTTAAACACATTGTCTCATGGCATGCTGGGAAACTCAACTCATTTAGCCCTAACACGCCACAATGTGTGCACAATGAAAGTGTTGCTTATTGGCCTTAAACTAATTAGGTGAAATCGGCTTCAAAAATTTGAGTCAAATTAACTCAAAAATTGCTGACATAACTTGAAAACTTATGTCAAGCTCACAAGGGATGAGTTTTTGGGTCGAGTGAACATGAAGGCTTTATGTCATTTTGACAATCTGTTTGTGTAGACTTTACATTAAAATTTTGTGTCATGGATGGATTGGGGTTTACAGTGTATGACATCAGCACAGAGACAAGGCCAGCAATGTTACAGATTCCATGTCGGCAAAGGGCTTATTGAGAAGATCACGAGAGTTACTGAGCACATTCATGCCCCCAAGGATGAAACCCTTCCTTTCTAAACACACTAAGAGCTTTCCCATAGTGCCACCCCAACCCATTCTCATTCCCAGGTTGTCAGATACTGACGCTTTATCACATCCCTTGACATGTAGAACAGATGGAAATGGCAACATTTAGGTATCTTTGTGAGACACAGCTGAAACACACTGAGACACATGGTTTATGTTGTGAAATGATTGCGGCTAGGTTTATGCAATGAAACAAATTGATCAGATTTAGAACAAAAGAATGTTTTGGGTTAAAATGTGTTGTTTCTTACATAAGATAATGTAAATATAGTGTTAAAACCACACTGACTTCTGGTTTCACACAGGACACGAACTGCAGTGTCCTGGATGAAAATCCAGGTCTGGTTTGACCAATCTACCGCCCCTCCCTCCCAGACTTTCTTGCTCTTTATAGTATGACAGTTGTTCTCAGCATCAAGAAGTGTTGCAGATGTATTTACAATGGAGTTTCTTGGAAGCCCGGTGCATTTGGCATCAATGTCACATGCCAAGGGGCATGAAAAAGCAGCAGTGTTTGATGCCCTGGAAATGACAATAGGTTAGCCACTCTCAGGGGACCTTCAATGTCAAGATATCTCATAATCTAACACACAGATCACAGAGTAATTGAGTCAGCATATACGCTACAAAAGTAATAACCCCCTTGACTTTTTTAACACCATGGCCTTCATGCTACTGCCACACTCACAGCAACCTTTAGGGTCCATCTCTTCACTGTGTGTGTGAAACTGACAATGGAAGTGTAAATCTGCAGGGCGTGGTCTGACTCGCCGCAGCCCTACTTGAGAGGAGGGCACCTATGTAGAATAAGACTTTATTAATGACGGAAAATGTTAAGTATACTATTACTGTGCTTCTAAATCTTTAACTCAGAGCTTGGACCTTGTAATGGTTTGATTATACAGAAACACAGAAATACACGTGCAGCCCATTTGGTTATTTCTAATTAATCCCTGAGTTTTGAGGTACAAAAGGCTTTCATAAGTAGATTTATGTTACTACGATTGTTCTCTTTATGGTGAACAGAGACATTTTTATAGCACACATAACCCTCAAATCCCTTTAGTTTTGAACATGATTTGATGTAGCTGGCATGCGTCTTTGGTGAGTCAGAAGCATTTCCTGTGTGTGTAGGTAGTGTGTATTCTGTCTCTAGGAGATAAGCCTTCATTAACAGTGACGAGCCTCTCTCTGTCTGCCTGCTGTAAACCCATGATTGTCAAACACTGGGGGAAAGACTGGAGTGGCGAGCTGTTTGACGGAGAAATCACAAATCCCACATCGCTCCCCCACATTTTCACTGTGACAGCCTCCATTGTACACCGTTGTTTCGTAGCTGGCATCAGACTGATAGAAGCTGCGTCCTATCAGCAGCACCATCCACCCCCCCACCAGCCCGCCTCCCCCACGGCGCGGGGGAATGCGGCAGGGCTCTCTCTAAGAGCGCTGCTCATGAATATGTACAATCATTATGAGTGATTAACATGCTGCTTTGCATATGTACAGCCACTGTCTCCAGAATACAGATTGTAGGGCCCGATAGGGGCCCAACGGTGCCTCTCTAAATTACCCAGCCTTTGATCCAGCATTTATCAGAGCCGCAGTTGGAATGCCCCGCAAGTAGACAGGCACAATGAATTATGGATGCTCATTATATTTCTCAGAGGTGGAAAAATAAGTGTTAGGTTGGATTTCGGCAGCACTGCCACGTCCACGAAGAGCTGCTAAAGCATCCCATTAAGCATACAGTATGTCTGTAAGGAGTACTCTGTTGCTGAGGAGTCTTGGAGGCCTCACTGCAGTAACTCAACACGGTCCTGAGTTGTTTTTTATTACAGTACAGCATTTGAGAAAAGCCAAACAATAAAGTCAATTCGCTTCATGTTACAAACTTTACATGTGGAAGTAACACACTGAAATAGATAAGACAGCAGTATAGGATGTTCAGCCCGTTCCCATCCCTTGGTTGTCAAATACAAGCACTTTGTCATGCCCCTTGGCGTGTGATATTGACGCTAACGGCACCTTTCGGCATTTTTATGAGATCTGCGGGGCTTTCAGCTAACTCCAATATAAACCTATCTGTGGCAACCCATCCATGGGTGGGAGGAGGGGGAGGCGGATGGGTCAAACAACACAAGACTTGCCCCCAGAAGACAGCTGTTCATATCCCATGTGAAACTAAAAGTAAACAGTGTTTTAATGTAACATTATGTAATTTATGTACGGCCATTGTGCACTGATATTACATCACGTTACGCTACGTAGAAAAATTTACTTATTTTAATGCAAAACATCTTTGTTCTAAACCTTATCAAGTAATTTAAACCAAACCGCGACTCTGGGGTGCCGGTGGCTTAGTGGTAGAGCAGGCGCCCCATGTACAAGGCTGTTGAAGCAGCAGCCCGGGTTCGACTCCAGCCTGTGGCCCTTTGCTGCATGTCTCTCCCTCTCTCTCTCTCCCCCTTTCACACTTCACTATCCTATCAATTAAAGGCAAAAAATGCCCTAAAAATATCTTAAAAAAAAAAAAAAAAAAAAAGCGACTCTTTCACAACATAAACCACGTTACAATGTGTTTCAGTTGTGCATCACAGAGACCCTATACCGTGACCTGTGTGTCACTATAAGACACTATGGGTGTGATAAATCATCTGATTTTTAATTATTTTATTTTATTTTTTATTTATTTTTTGTTATTTAAGGGTTTTTTTTTGTTTTTGTTTTTTTTTTATGTTTTTCTATTTTAAGAATGTCAACAATAAACATTAGGGCTGGACGATATGGCCCTAAAATAATATTACGGTATTTCAAGGTGTTTTTGTGATAACGATATTCTTATATAGTGTGATAGTCCCTACCACATTGGTTCCTCCATGTACACAGGTGCACTTTTTTACCAGGTTCAGACCATTTAATGACATTGTTAACATTCCTGTCGGGATAACCAACAGGCAATTGCAGATAAATGATATTAAAAAAATGTTGATATTATGTCCTCTGACACTGCATATCATACCATTTGCTGTAATATGCATAGACCTTCTGGTGCCTGTAGCAGTATTATCATCACAGTCAATGTATTTAAAAAATCTGGACTTGCTCTATCACAGAACCCTCCCTCTTCTCTGAACTCATTTGAAGATTTCAATACATGACATTAGTATAATATTACATTAATATTTGTACTTTTAACAACAATTCTGACATTCTAGTCTTTTCTGAAACCTGGTTAAAAAACGTCAGTTGAAGATGGCGATATTAACTTAAATGATTACAATTGATTTAGATGTGACAGACTCACTAAGGGTGAAGGTGTAGCAATCTATTTGTCAGAAATAACATAAAAGCATCCCAGTTAGTTAGTATATCTGTGCCAAAGCAGTATGAACTATTGAGTTTAAATATATAATTAAGTCAAAATGCTATTTTTTAGGGTTGTTGCTATTTATCTTCCCCCCAATCCCCCACCGCCCCTCTAGAAGCAGTTACTGACATTTTTGAGAATTTAACCCCTTTCATGACCTCAGAAGTGACCATTATAGGAGACTTTATCTTAAATTGGATGTCCACAGACTCAGATAGTCTAAAGTCCATCTGTGCTGAACTTGGTCTTACTCAGTTAATCTCTAATCCTACCCATCTGAATTTTAAGGACCTCTCTAATTAACCTTGATTGACATTATATCAACAAATCATCCCCATAAATATTCTTCCAGTGGTGTACTTCCATTAGATATAAGTGATCATTGCCCAATAGTATGTATCAGAGATACTCGACTGACCAACTCAAAAACTCAAATTGCTGTCAAAAGAAACTTCAGAAATTTTAAGCCTTTTTACATGATCTCAAACATGGTGACCTTTCACATACAATAGAAATCCCAGATGTGGAACTAGCATCAAATTATTTTTCAAATATCTTCAATTCAGTTGTTAACAAACATGCTACATTTAAGAAGTTAAGATTAAAAGATAGATTCAGCCCTTGGTTCACCTCTGAATTATCAAATCTGTTCCAGTGACGGAACAAAGCATGGTCCCCAGGTAGAAGTTCCGGGAACCCCTCCCATTGGCTTGCTTTCAGAAAGCTAAGAAATAAATGCCCCTTCTTAACAAGAAAAGCTAAATCTAATTATTACTTAACCTCTATCCCCAGTTCTTGGTCAAATCCATCAAAATTCTGGAAAGACGTAAACTCTGACAAACTAAAAACAACGCTTCCTCTCTGCCCACTCATGTCAATTCCAGAAATATCACACTGACTGAAAAAGAAGATATAGAAAAGCAGCTGGAGAGGACAATTTGGCCCCCTTTCTCCTCAAGCTTGCAGCTCCCATAATTTCAGAGCATATACCGCATATCTTTAATTTAAGTATTTCAACTGGTATACTACCTAAAGTATGGAAGTCAGCTCATGTTTTAACTTTGCACAAAGGAGGAGAAAAAAGTGACCTAAACAACTACTGTCCAATTCAAAACTGTCTTGTCTGTCTAAAATCCTACAAACATTAGTAAATAATCAACTCAAGTCATTTTTAGCTCAATATGCTGTATTAACCCCCCACCAATCTGGCTTCAGATCAGATCATAGCACTATCTCTGCTACTTCCTTAATTTTAAATGACATTGTGTCAGCTGCAGATAACAGGAAGCTCTGTGTTGCTGTTTTTATTGATATATAAAAAGCATTTATTACAGTTGATCATTCTTTACTCCTAAAAAGACTATCAAATATTGGATTTGATCCATGAGCCATCAAATGGTTCACCAATTACCTCTCTGGCAGACAACAGTGTGTAAAAGTGGGAAATGTTAGATCAGAGTTTTTACCAATAACAAAAGGTTTTCCACAAGGTTCAGTCTTAGGACCAGTGCTATTCACTATAGCTCTGTTCTTGCAAAACTGTAATGTCCATTTTTATGCTGATGACACAATTTTATATTGGTGGACTGACTCTGTAAATTTAGCTCTTGAAATCCTGCAGCATTCTTTCAATGTTCTGCAAAATGCATGAATGAATCTCAAACTTGTATTAAATGCTGACAAAACTAAATATATGCTGTTCTCCAGAGCCAAAAGCATTAACCACAGGACTCTCAAAACCTGAACTCTAAATGGTACAATCATTGAACAAGTTCCATATTATAAATATTTAGGCATCTGGATTGATGATAAATTCACATTCAAACCACAAGCTGATGTACTTACAAGGAAATTACAATAAGATGTTTTTTTTTTGTACAGAAATAAATCTCTAATGATGTAATTTATCAACATGCAGCTGCCTACACTCTTATGCCCCTAAATGCTGTCTACCATTCAGCCCTTAGATTTATAAATGGAGACAGCTATGGCACACATCACTGTTTGCTTTATCAAAAAGTGGGTTGGCCTTCTCTTTCTATTAGAAGAGACCATCATTTGCTTTTATTTACTCATAGGGACTTCTTCAAAAATTGCCTTCATATTTGTCATCACTTATTGGTTGGAGAACTGCAACATATCACACATGTTCGCAAGACTGGTTAGTACTGCAGGTTCCTAGAACTAATACTGATTTGGGAAAGATTGCTTTCAGATTCTTTGCAACATATACCTGGAACGAATTACAGTGTACTTTGAAGCTTGATACTCTGGTTTCAATGGGTCAATTCAGAAATCTAGTCAAAAACCTGAGTAATTTTAACTGCTGGTGTTTTTAACTTTTTTTTAACTGATTCACGTTATATGTATGTGTATATGTATATGCTGCTGCCAGAGGAGCCGCTGAATGAGTTCCCTCTGAGCGGTAAGTTGCTAATAGAGTCTAAGAAGTCTGGGGCTGTTCATAAATCATCCAGGACTCCCAGACCTAAGGACGCCTCAGTTTATTCCACAGCTGCTCCTCTTTCTGGAACCACCATGGCGTTGGTTATAATTTTGCTTTCAACCATGCTTGTTGTTGCTGTGGGTAACAGTATGACGTCATTACAGTATGTCAACAATTTGAAGTTTTTCATATCATATTAACAATCATACCGGTATAAACATATACAAAAATCAAATAAACAATCAATTACATAAATACATACAGCACGGACAAAAAAAGCATCATCTCTGCAACGTTCATAACATTAATGATTCAAAAGTCCATCAGCACAGCCCCAAACCTTGTGGGAGTAATCAGGTGACCTATTCTAAAAGTCAAGCCTGGAAACAAACAAACAAATAAACAAAAAAGGTCCCTATAGTACAGCCAAAGCAAAAGATGCAAGAGCCCACTCTCTCCATCCGTATGTTACAACTGTAGTTCATTGAAAAAAAAAAAAATCATAATGATAGTTAAAGCTATAGTGCGTAACTTCTGTTGCCTCCCAGCGGATAATGCGTTATTACCACTAATAAGCCGAGTGTTGCACAGAGTAACACTCGCCACACACCGTGTACACAGAGTACCACTAGCCAGTCGCCAAACACCGTGTACACAGAGTAACACTAGCCAGTCGCCACACACCGTGTACACAGAGTAACACTCGCTTCACACTGTGTACACAATGCTACACAACGTGGCGAACACCAGGCTGCTAACATTACATTACGTTCATAGCACCATTTCCAAGAAAATAATAAAGTACTAGGTCCAGTACATGTAACAGCAACACATACTACTCATAATATAATTGTAAACCAAGTCACTTACTTATCCAACAGCAGCAAGGCAACATCCGTGTCTGCCCTCAGCCCAATTTCTTCCTTCAGGGCTCTTCACCGAGGAAAAGCGACGCCAATACAAATCCTTGTCTGCCTTCTCCGTCGGTCACTTTCCTTCTTTGCTAACAGAGCTTCAGCCGAACGTCCAGGCTTTTTCTTTGTGGTACGATCCACTTCTGGACCGTGTCTCGGCCGCTTCTCCGCCATGTTGCTTTCACCTTCTACCTGCGCTCTACCTCTTGCTGTGACACTCTCCGCTCGTCCTCCCCCTCCCTTCTTGTTGTGAGGAAGCATTTCCTGTGCGCCAGCGCAGGAATGTCGCTGGTCTACACGTATACTAAAAATGATCTATATTGAAATTACCGCGAGATGTTAGAGGAGCCGATCGGCTTAATCAGCATTGTGTCATCTCCTCTAGTAGTGGCTTGGGTGAAACGGACATTTACGGACCTGTAGAAGTTACGCACTATAGCTTTAAGTATGGAACGTGCATCCAAAAAGCAAATAACTTCAGTATTGTGTCCAGCTCCTATGACATGTCTATTCCTTTTATAAAAGACAAAGCTGAACCCAGACAAGCAAATATGAATCTCTATGGTTGTGTAGATTGGCTATCATTAATTCAAATTATGCATTCTCTGTAATTAACTTAACCCGATCACTATACTCAGGGCTAACTTGACTTCCAGTTGTGGAGCAGCAAATGCTGATGATGCTAGAGCAAATGCTGGCTTGGAGATCTTGGGTAAACATGACCTGTCTCCAAAGAGGCAAAGTTGAAGTGATTCAGGAACAGGCATACCTAGCTACTCTTGTATTGTTTTGATTATCTCTCTCCAGAAAGGTAGAACCAGAGGACAGACCCACATTGCATGGATAAAGGTGCCTTCCTGCTTTTTACATTTCCAGCATAGATTATTTTCTAGAAGCATCTGTATTTGACAACCTGGGAATTTGAAGGGGTTGGATGTTTACCTTGCATGTTCTTCAGGGAGCTTCCTTTGTCGTTGCATATGAAACATCAAGTCCCCGCCGTTCACATATTCAATCACTAGAAATAACCTGGAAACCAAAGCATGATGAGAAAATGTATTATTTCACCAATGTTGCTGTTTAACAGAGGCTCCTTTAGAAATGTTAAGACTAGATGGTTAAAAGAAATTTGAAAAATAAAGAGAAACATAATGACATGCCCTTCACGTAAAAAAAAAGGGTTTATGAAATGTCATAAGGATATCAGATATAAAAGAGTACATTTGCTTTTGTAGGTCTGCTTTTCACTGATTTAAATGTGTTTTTATGAGATGGCATTTTCGACATCTAAATTCATCTCTACCTACAGAAATGTTAAATGTTGACTCTTAAAGCCCCTGTCAAATGCTACGCAATCAGTGCCACAAGGCAAAAAGGCTGATATTAGTTATCTTTTGTTTCTAGTTTTCAAAAGAAATACACTGAAGGGACTAAAACCAACAGTAAACTGACTAACTGACCAACAAGCAGTGACTTGAGGACTGATATACTTTATTGCTCTGTGCCATAGTGCTCCAATGACATCAAAATATTGATCAAAAACACACAATGATGTATTCTGTGCATTTAGGTGACACATACCTTTTGTTTCATTTAGAGGAACATGGCCACAAGTGCATTTTCAATCTCGAGCTGAGAGAAAAAAACTACAAGTGCTATGTCCACTGTACATTTATTGTTCATTGTATAGTATGACTCGTTTATGCATTCAAATAGGTTTTGGACGTTCTTTTGAGAAAACTACTGCACACTACTGCCTGCTGCAGCCCAGTCACTAGAAGAAAATGGTGACGTACGTTTCTGCAGTTTCTATGTTTCATATGTATCATATCAACGTATCTAAAGTGACAGTATAAGCTGACATTGTTCTGGAGGTGGAGGGGGTGTTGGATGGTGTGTCTCCTAGGTGAGACGGCTGCCAACAAACAACAAAACTGTTTTTTCAACAAAACACTGCATTACCAACAGTGATTGTGTCACTGAAACCAGGCATTTTATACCAAAACATGATATTTTCCTATCCATAACCAAATAGTTCTTGTACCTTCACATAACCACACATTAACCACAGGGTCACCGAAATATAAAAAAGTGCAAAGTTTGAATTCATCTGCTTCATGATAACGTACAAATGTGACATATGTCATGCGGTTTAATGCCAGCATTTATTCTGGTGATTTGGTTGGGCATAAATGACCCGTTGTGTCTTCTGTTATATTTGATTTGTTTTCAGCTTGATGTATGCCAACTTAGTCAGTGACAAATATAATGATCAGTAAGGCTACTGCAAGATTATTCTTCACAAAACAAATATTAGATTATTATATATTACAAACAGAACTACTTTCGGTTGTTTTTAACCAAGTCATTGCTGTGTTTCCAGCGTTTTAGCCACCAAACATGGGTCTTTTGTAGTGACCTGTCACTGTGTTTCCACTGGGGATAGTGCCACAACAGGCAATTGTTTCTACAGAGACATTGCTGTGTTACCAGCCAGGATTGTGCCACAAAAAGCAGGTATCTTTCGGCAAAACATAGTCTTTTCCTAACCATAACCAACTGGTTTTTGTGCCTAAACATAAGGGCACTTTCATCACAGCGTTGTTGAAACGTATAGAAACGTGAAGTTTCAGTGTATCTGCTACATAATTTCATACAAATGTAACATATCTGTGATTTGCAGACATGTTCAATGCCAACATTTATTCTGGTGATCGGGTTGACAGCTGACATGCAAGATGGCTGAAAATATCTGTATGGAGAAAGGAAGAGTCTGCCCACTTCCAATGCACGTACTGAATAATGACCTCGATTTTTTGGTGACTACACCATCATCAGAGCAAATGCTTAACAAAAACTTATGATGACAGCATCAAGAAGGGCAAACCAGTGCTTTTTAATGCAGGTAAAAACTGAGGGTAAATTAATGCGGAGGGCAATCAGGAGATCCAAATACAAATATGCAGAAAATGTGCAAAACATTCAACTTTTAAAAAACATTTATATAATCCATTTACAGCACAAAATCAAGGTTTTAACCCACAAAATGGTGATATTGCCATTTTTGGTGGTATCTTGTAACTCTGGAGCTTTCTATGTACTTGGACCAAGGAAACTATAATTGTGAACTTGCAGGAGATGATAAGCAATATACCAGTTTTGTCCTTTAATGAAGAAGAGGCCATCACTAGGAAGTAATATTTCATATTACTGAAAGGTACGGTCAGGTAGACTGAGCTGCAGCTGAAATGTGTTGCCTTTAATGCATACAGTATGAGTGTCAGCCTTCTCATGCTCTTACCGACTTTCTGTCTGGAAACAGGAGTGGAGGCCTACTAAGAATGGATTGGTGGACGCCTGCTCAAACACGTGCTTCTCTGTCTGTACCCAGTCAATATCCTGGAGAGATGAGAGGAGACAGATGGAGACAGAGAGGAAAGATAATGTACTGACAATCAATTTGTCTTATCAATAGACTTTCTGTGTGGTTAAACAGACAGAGTGAGACACATCATGCCACAGATAAAACAAATGCAGTCAGTCCTGTGAAGAATCCTCACACTCAGGATTATTCTGAGACTGTTTATTTCCTGCTTCTGTTAAGAGTGTGGACCTTGGATGGTGTGCCAAAAGATAACTGATCCGACAGTTAGTCATTGACACTAATGAAAGATCATTATAACCTGTTAAAAATGACACCCAAACAGAGCTTTGTATTTCTATATATCTCTCTATATATTTTATACCATATACACAACCTCTATATACATATGATATCTAATTTGTGCTGCTTATTTTGCTGGAGCACCAAAGCACACTGTCATGTCTTTGCCCAAGACATAAATCGGGGTTCTGAAAACTGACTCTGTACAAGAAAAGAAAAGGAAAGAACATTTTCAAAAGGTGCATGAGAGAGCCATGGATCAAGAGAGGAGGTTGGGGGGCCCTCAAAGACTGCATATGCATAGAGCCCAGAATTCAGTGCTACGCTCCTGACTACAGCTGTCGATTAAATATAGTGAAGTAAAAGTATAAAGTTGCTTCAAATGGAGACACTCCAGTAAAATAAACACATGCTTCTAAACTATTTTTGACTAGTGCAGCACCTGATTAAAAGGACTTAGTTAGTAAAGCAAGAATCCTTCCGACAACTAGAAAACTACAGTATCTTTATTTACAAATCCATTTTCTCTAATTGTTATCAGCTAGCTGTGGGTGGAATATGTGGTTTTATAGAGAGCTGTGAGTGTGGATGTTTTATGCAGATTTAAAGTGTCATTAAGTTGATGATGTTTAATGTTTTATGTGCTCTACAACAGAATGTGTCTAAATTTTGAGTTTCCCATGCTGTGCTCTGACACAATATGGTTAATTTATGACATCACAGTAGAGACCCCATATTGTGCAATTGATACCAAATTCCTTCTGGTCAACTCATTAGCACTTGAGGAATTTATAATTATGCAGAATACAACACATCTCGTACTGGTCATTTCAGCTCCTTTAGTAGTTTGTAGTCTGTGAGAGCTCTTACAAGCTTCCTTTGATGTCAGGCAATAGACTACTAAAGAGATGAATTATTAAACTAATGTGCATGAATAGAGCCATGAATATATGAATGTCCAATCACAACAGGAGGACTCGATGGTTTCATTACATCCTCTCAGTTAGGAAAAAATTGCATCTGTCTTATGGACTTTAAGTGTTTATATGTGGAGAAAAACAAGAAATGATAAGTTGATGGGGGCAATGGAGGCATGAAGCCTGTGACGTGGTTTATGTTGTCCTGGATTAGTCGTACAGATGTTGGATGGTGCCGTAGCTCTGGACAGTGATCCTCGGTCTGCCTACATGACCCCACTCATTACTCTTTTCTGTATCCTATATTATGTTTTATATTTCATTGCCCTGTAAAGCGCTTTGAATTTCCTTTGTGTATGAAATGTGCTATACAAATAAAGCTGCCTTGCCTTGCCACTGGTTTCTGTTCTTGTTTTGTTTTTTAACAGGAATTATATGTTGAGCAATTGTGCCATCTAGTGAGCACATATGACACAAACACTGCAAAGTCAACAGGATGCAGGACTCATCTGTCCCAACTTTGTCTTTGATTCTGTTGTTTTTACTTCCTTTAAAAGGTTCACTGTATGCAAAACATATTGGAACTAGTTCAGTTACTAGTTTATTCCAATAGTGAACCTGGCAGAGGTGCAGCAGCCTTTAGATCATTTTGTAAAGACGGTAGGTTTCATAGAAGACACCAGTGATTAAAATGCCAAAGGTAACACCTCAGTGTTTCTCTTTTACATTAAAAAATGTAAAGTACTTTTTTTGTTGACTATATAAATAAGAGAAATTAAATTTAAGATTTTTCCTTGTTTGTTGTTGTTTTTTTGTTTGTTTTTTTTAACTAATCAAGATATATAGCAGGAACAATGCATAGGAACCTCAAACCTTGTAAGTAGTAGGTTTTGGCTGACCGGTGTATATACATACATACATACATACATACATATATATATATATATATATGTACAGTACAGGCCAAAAGTTTGGACACACCTTCTCATTCAATGCGTTTTCTTTATTTTCATGACTATTTACATTGTAGATTCTCACTGAAGGCATCAAAACTATGAATGAACACATGTGGAGTTATGTACTTAACAAAAAAAGGGAAATAACTGAAAACATGTTTTATATTCTAGTTTCTTCAAAATAGCCACCCTTTGCTCTGATTACTGCTTTGCACACTCTTGGCATTCTCTCCATGAGCTTCAAGAGGTAGTCACCTGAAATGGTTTTCCAACAGTCTTGAAGGAGTTCCCAGAGGTGTTTAGCACTTGTTGGCCCCTTTGCCTTCACTCTGCGGTCCAGCTCACCCCAA